TTTACTTCCAAGCATAATAATAATAGTAAATCCCAAGGATTTTGTATTTGTAACGAATAGGTTTTCGAGGCATAAGGGATTGATATCAGTACAGCCAATTCTTACAGAACCAATTCAAAAAGTAATGTTCCCTCACCAACGGACACTGCGGATTCATGTATGGCAAACCGATAATCACGACAGCTCGAGCTAAATCATCTGAGAAATTGATGCCTTCGCTCAGCTTGCCTCCAGTTACACAGAATAGTACGGCGCCACGTAGTCCCTGTCGCGCAGCTACCTCATATGCTTGCATCACCTGTGCAAGAGATTCAGTATGTTTATGAGTTGAGATTGCATGAATAACTCTGAAAAATTCAAAGCTTGAGATTGTTATTAACGCTTAAAATCCATTCGTCTATATAAGAGGTAAGATATAGCCGGATAGTCTTCTTTCCCTAGTGTTGAATTGATGCTTTTACAATAATTAATTCCAGCTCTGATTATGTCTATTACATGATGGACGAAAGCTTACCTCGTTTTCACTGGAAACAAGGGAGAATGTCTCGTAGACTGCATCAACCTGAACGTCGTATAAAAGCCAAATGGCCGCAATACAACGGGCTTTAGCCCTCCTCTTCTGATGAGATCGACCTATGAAACTCTTCTTCATGTACTTTCATGCGAAATGAAAGTCCCCTCAACAAGCTTATCTAAGGAGATTCATCGAAATCCAGCTACTTTTCGTAGTTTTTTTAGTAAATATATTGATTAGCAATTATAATGTTAAAGAGGAAATTATTTTGGCGATAATAGCCAAAAATATAGGGCTTTCGTCAAGTGAAAGAGATATATTATGAATAGAATTAAGATGCCACTTTTAGGTATGCTATTAATCGTCAAATACCCCCCTTGGACTTATCATAAACTAAATAGATTTGCCTCTTGATGGTTAAAGGAATGACGTAAAGGTAGTATACAGAGATCTACATTATTTAGGAAAAGCTTACTGAGTTCATGCCGCCAGAGCCGCGTGGCTCTCGAAACACACGTCGCCCCGTGGTAGTAAGGCGACTCAACAACTGACTTGCTTGCCATTGCTTGAACATATCGGCAATGTAGTCATATGAAGGTAGAAAAACGACAATTCCACCTGACTCGAGAGAATGAGGTTTTGGCAAAAAATCGAAGAAATACAAAAGTTGTGTGGTAAGGGAGAAATTCAAAATTCGATCGTATTAAAAATCCTATAGTCTTTATTTAATCACGTTCCGAAATACATTTTACACGGAAAAAGGTCGTAATATTGCAATATCTAATTCCATTACGTTTCTATACTAGATTGTATTATGTATATATAGGGGGTCAATAAAAATAAAAAAAGATTTAAGACAACTTCCTTAATATCATTCGTTTTCATTTACGATCACCTGATAGCTTCAAAACTTATTCGATTAGGATATAATAATCTGGTTGATTGTAATTGCTATTATAAGTTTGCCATACCGAAATAAATCACATTATAAATGTGAACCGAAGTAAGTCTGGGTTATCTATTAAATCGCATCTGCCCAGTGACATTCGAAACGGATTGATAGCGCTGTTAATTCAAACCCGCAACCAAGATTACAATCTCGTTAGGGGTGTAGAATAAACGATAAGAGGTCTAACCTAAGGCCTATAATAAATTATAAGGTATTGGGAGTAAAATTAATTGTATTGTGAGGCTTCGCATTCATGCGATTCTGGGAAATTTAACTACCAGTACTCATTCATTTCAAGCCATAACTAAGATGCCACGTTCGTATTCATGTTTCAAAACTTAAAAAATAAAGATAAATTCTAATCGAGAGTGTAAAGGCCAAGATCGCGTTGCGTCTAGTTTGTTCATAGTTGTCTTACAACACCACAAAGTTGTGAAAACGGATTCGAACTAATTTCAAAAATAAGTCTTTTTTAATCAATATTTTCGGTATTTTGTCACATCAGCTTATCATTTTGATTAGCTAAAAAAGATAATACAGGTTGTTTGACCTTATTTTATCAACTTGGTCATATTGGTAGGAAGACTTAGAGGAACGCACCTCGTCCGGAGTCCATTGTATGCATGATAATTTCCAAAGTCGGACCATGGGCGTGGTACATTCCCAGATGTTTCGCCGGCATCGTCAGTAAGTTTTGTCACTCTTAGCACCATACTACAACTCATCAAAGAGACAAGTGAAGCCCATCCTTTGACCAAACGTGTGCTAAACAGTTATGCTATCTACCCTTCTGCCCTGGCCTATTCACATTTCCTATATTCTCGTATCACGCCTTCGCTATCAAAGGCTTGACCATGAGACTTACTCAGAGGCTTTAGCCTCGAATTAGTCACTCAGACGGAGGGGAGGGGTAATAACGCCTCGAGTAGCACAGATGGGGTGGCAGGGATGGAGAGAAATACTTGAACCAGGGAGATAGCGGACAGATTCTACGGGGTAAGAAGGAAACTCTGAAAAGACTTAGGTAAGGAGGACTGTGTAATAACATGGCAGACTCTGATTAACATTTCCAACAAAAGAGTGAAGAGGTGAGAACGCGAGCGTCAAGTGTGGAGGGTTGCCATGAAAGCCGTTCAAAAGATCACACTACATTTAAATAAGCACGAAAAATGCTAACAGTGAAGGCGTGATAGGGGAATATAGGAAATGTGAATATCCCAGGAGAGAAGGAGAAATAGCCCAACTGTTTAGCACACATTTGGTCAAAGGATCGGCTTCACTTGTCTCTCTGACGAGGTGTAGTATGGTGCTAAGAATGGAAAAACTCACTGACCATGCCGGCGAAACGTCTGGGAATGTACCACGTCCACGGTCGATTGGAAATTATTATGCACACAATGGAATCCGGACTAGGTGCGTTCCTCTAAGTCTTCCTACCAATATGACCAAGTTGCGAAAACAAGGTCAAAATACCTCCATTCAGCGAAAGGAGACTGCGAGCACAAGAGGCCACACCATCTTGTTCTTTATATATTAGATTTAAAAAATATCAGTTTGATAAATTTTCTTGAGGTGTAAAGCTAATCAGTGTAACATCAAGTTTCCCAAATCAAGTTTGCCTTTATACAGCCAGCAATTTGAGCAAAGGCTAAAATAAATGATAATCGATGCATGATTGCAGAGGAAAGGGAATTTCCTAATTTGATTTCCTCAACTTCTAGAAGTATTGAGATCGTGAATCGCCTTGGTGATCCAAGATAGGAAAGTTTGACTACCCAGCAAGAGATTAAAATAAGATCAAATTTTTTATCTCATCCTTAGGTAACTTGCATGCCATAAAGTTTCCAAATCATCCAAAATTGACTAATGATTCGGTCCTGCAAGGGTTTGACAAACACCGCCAAGAGATAATAAAAATAAGTGGCGCACG